AGTGCTTTACTGCGAAGCTAATCGGCGAGTGTCACAGGTTGCGGGTAAATTTTTGCGGATCCAAAAAATTGTCGCGGGTCCTAGTTGTGTGTTTTCTAGTTTTCAAAAAAAATAATAACGATAACAATAATAGCTTGAAAGTTGGCGTATAACAACATTTCAAATTTTTAGTTTACTTTTAGTTGCAAGAAGTATGGAACAAAACAAACAACAAACTCTCAAAATTCAAACACATTCCTTGTAGCGCTTGTCTTCTTTCCATTTTCTTTTTTTCTAGAGTCCAGACTTGTTAGTTTTTATGCAAGGGTCATTTAAAAGATATTCCTGTATTATTTCTTTTGTTGGTGCCCTTTTTATGCACTAGGTTTTGCGGAATGATAGAGTAGGAATCTCCAACAACAGACAAGGCCTCGAGGCCTCGTCATTAGTTAAAAAAGCTGATACAACAGACTACTGTTCTCTGGCAGTCGACATATGTTAAGAACGTCCATATTGTGTGTTTACATAACTCTTTCCCCGAATTCTTCACGAAATGGGCACAACCACAGGAGAGACTTTTTCCTATTTCTACTTAATGATTAGAATTTTTCTTAGGTTTAGTACGATGTTGGCTCTTTTATGGGCTGTGGAGGAGTTCATTGATGTTATCTTGAGCTCTTTCTTCCCTCGTTTTGCAGTTTGTAGCCTATCGATAAAATTTTTACTACGAGTAGGTCGGTGCCGTCCTTCTCGTGTTCCGGTAGACTTTGTCGTTTGACTGACACTAGCATTGTTGCGATCATAAGGGTTGGGGCTTCCAGGCGCATCTTGGTCTGGTGAAGCTGATATATGATTCGTCGTCACAAAGATCCTCTTTGATCAGGTCTTCTCCGAGCCATTGAGCCCTACGGATCTATCCCTTAAGGCTTTATTTTGTTTATCTTGAAGAGATGGGCGTGATCCATCTTTCCTTGTACCATTTTGGAATGCTTTATATGTCGCTTTAAGTTGAATACTGTCTCGAGAATCGGCATATGCCGTACTCAGGAAGGACATGTTGATTCTGTTCCTCTTTACCAAACTTGCAGAGATGTGGTCTGCGGGGTTTATTTTCGGTGCACTTTCAAACGGCACGAAAGATGTAATTCCGTCTTTTGTGCCACCACTCGATCTAGCTCTGGAGACATTTACTCTCCTCGCTTTTTGCGACAAAGGTTTCAAAGTATCCCTTTGATTTTTCGTAAGCCGTGGGACTTACGGCTTCGAGCAAAGCATTGCACAGGTCTTTAAAATTTCTTCTGTCATGTTCATTTAACTTTCTCGCTTGCTTATTTCTACACTCTGAAGTGAAATTCGCATGTCTTCAATTTGTTCAACACATCTGGACCAATGACTCTTTTTAGGCCTTCCATATTCGATTCAGACATGTCTGTTACCAAACTTCTCGGGTAAAAGACATAGTTTTCGTCTTTCTTTCTTTCATTAACCGATTTGGTTAAAACAGTTCTGCGTTGCAGGCATCCTCCTTTTCACATTTTCACTTTCCATTCTTGCGAGTGGTAACAGCTTTTATTAAAAAAAATATAACCTCATTTTTGCTGACTCATATACTTAATCCCTACGTTGTCACTTGAAACTATTTTTGACATTGTGTGTGCTGTTTAACTCGTAACCTACTCTTGAGAGAGCTTGGGGCGTCTGTGCTGGTATGTGATTTGCAATTTTCACCTAAACTACTCTTTTATTGCTTATTAATTCATTCTTTCATTTAGTTATTCAACTTACAAATTAATAACATCTACAGTTATCAATTGTGTAGACCCACTAATTGGTTAAATGGTGAGTCAAACAGAAAGATTGATTATTTAGACCATAGCTGCAGTAGTTAAGACGCTTACAAGAACATCTGCAATAGTTAGAAGAATCAGTTATTATTGAAAGCGATTTTTTTTTCATCTAGCAGCTCTTTTATAATAAGGTGGTTAATTGCCTTTAATCCGTCACTTAAAATCACGGGGTCACTGGTCACATAGACGTATTCCCTCTACATGTATGTGGATCTAGTATTGTTCAGAAGTAGTTTCTTAAGATTGGTAAGTTTCAGTTCATAATTGGCAGACCCTATTGTTACCCGTACTCCAAGAACCACAAAGAACTCTTAATAACTAACGCTTCTAGAAGAATATATTTCTTGTTTTTTGTTTTTTCAAAAATTACAACAACAACTGTCTTCTAACTGTCCCGGATGTTGCCACGTAACAAGTCAAATGTTTCCATTACGTTTACGCTCTAACACTATAAGCCAGAGTTTGGTGTTAAAGGAAATATCACCTCTTTAATTTTATTTTGCTTTGTCAGCAGGTGGTTGTGCTCTTTCTTAATGACTCGTTACCCACGGTTACTGCCAAAACTGAGAATTTAAAGCGAGTACAAAAGAAGATAAGGGATATGCAAGTTAACATCGTTCCCGTCGGTGTTGGAGATTACGCCAAATTATCAGAATTAAAAGTAATCGCAACTAATGATGGCACAGCACGTCGCTTTGGAGAATACGAGTCACCTGAAACGTTGGGAACAGCTGTCATACAAGGTAGCACAAGGAGACTTGGATCATTATCAATAGCTGGGAACAGACCCTTATATAAAACTACCATGACATTTTATTCAAAACCCCCTTATGTAAATCATCATCGCTACATAGCGACAATATAGAGGTACAAATATAAAACCCCTGGATTTCAAGCACAGTTCTGACCTTCACGATCGACGATCGATATCAACATCTGCGCGCAGACTCCTAGATGTAACATTTTACCATCGCAATAAACAACTGGACACACGTTTAACATGGATGTGACATTTTAAGTTCAATTAATCAATATCAACATCTGGGCACAGAATACGCACTCTATGTAAAGAGTTACGATCAACACAGACCCCTAACCGTAAGATACTAAGATCTTT